CGGCGGCGGCTTCGCTTGAACTTGGCGCCGTGGCGCGGGCTGAGCGCTCGGGCGGCCGGCGGGAGCCTCTGCGGGCGCGGGGCGGCTGCTCGGGGGCCGCGGGCTCTGCCGGCCCCGCACGCGGCTCCCGCCTCGCGCCTCCTAGGTGGGTGACCCGCAGGGTCCCAGCCCGCAGCGCCCAGCCCGACAGTCCCCCGGGAGCCGCTTGCTGAGGCGCCCGCGGGCCGAGCACAGCCGGTTTCCAGCCCTCGTGGCTGCAGGCTGCGCCGGGCTCGCCCTTGGCGGCAGGTCCCGCACGGACACCGCCGGTCTGGTGTTCCCGAAGGGCTTTGGAAGCGGCTGTTCCCCCTGGGAAGCGGCGCGCTGGGCTCCGGGCACGCACGTCGTGCTCCGCCGCGGCGGCCGCACGGAGAGTTTGGTCACGGCTCCCACCAAGAGCCGCCGGTAGCGGTGAATAATGATGCGGAGCGCTGGGAAAGGCCCTGGAATGAGTAACAAAGGAGCAGCCGSGGCTCTCTGCCACACTCCGGGCTCCCCTTCAGCTCGAGGGCCGCGTGTGACCTGCCGCTGTCCCCCAGGAAATGGCAAAACCCTCCCCTGGCCCTTGTGTCCCCCGGCCTGCTGTGACCACGGCGCCCGGGAGGGAGGAGAAGCGGGGATGGCAGAGCCGGAGCAACTTCCCTCCCTTGCATTCGCACAGCTTATTGCAAAGAGGGCAGTCCTGCTCTGCTCTTGCTGCAGCCCTTTGACCTCACGGTGCTGTTGCTCGTGCACCATCCCCGCTCTGCWGCATTCGCAGTCAATTTGGAGTTGTTGCCTCATTAGGCGTCAGATATACGGTAYGATATCCAGGGTTATCTGGTCTGTYATTATGATTCAGCTGCCAGAAAGAGCGGTGTCTGATGTCTGCTCCTGTGAGCCAAAGCCTGTCGCCGATTCCTGGCCTGGGAGGACGGGAACGGCTCCCGCCGGAGCTCGGGAGCATCTCCTGACACGGGAGGCTCAGAGAACGCAGGAAACACCAAAAACTGGGCGGTCAAGTGGCTCCGATTCTCTGAATCATCACGCTGAAGTCACACTGAAGTTGAGTTCTTTCGGAGAGTGAATTAAGCAGTAAATTATCCCGGCTGGCAGTGGAAATTCCTTCATTAATTAATATTGCTGGAGGGAATGAAATTGTACCTTTGTCTGCAAAATACTCCGGATCCAGACAAGTTTCTCTGCCTTGTGGGTTTGAGATGTGATCGCCAGGCTCTGTGCTGGGCTGCAGGAGGACCCGTCGCCTCCAGGACACCCTTGGGGCTCTGTCCTCAGCACTTGGCCATCGTGAGAGYGTGGGTTATACAAACTCCTCTGGTTTTAATGGCACAGCCTGAGGAACAGTAGTGAGATTTGTAGGCAAATACCAAGAAAAACGTGGTCAACTCACTGTAGGTCCCAAGGAATGAGGGGTGTTTCTGTGGGACAGCTCATGTTTCATCTTCTGGCAGTGAAATGCCCAGTCACGCCCGTATTGGGCCAAATCAGCTCTCATTTGCACCACAGCAACTTCTTCTGGCTGTGGTGTGAGAGCAGAACTTGTGCCACCGGGATTAAAACATCCAAATTCTTCTTTTGCAAGCTACAGCCTGGCTTTCTCCTACAGACTCCAAGAGCTTTATGCAAAAATGATTATTCCAAGCCCCGCTGCCGCATCTAAGATGCYATAAAATATCCGCAGTCCACCAGCATGCAACTTGGGTATACCCTGTGTATAGGTATAGTTTATATGGAGAGAGCATAACCACGAGAGTCTGCTTTTCCTCCATGCGACACGGCGAACCGGCGCTGCAGATGTCAGTTTCTGTCAACATCAGCGGCTTTTCTTCTCCATTACCCTTTTATTTTGCCTCTGCTTACCCAGCAGGTCCTGCCTTGCTGGCATCCCGTGTCATGCCAACGCTTTTTCCCATTTAGTGACAGAAAGTTTCACTCGGCCTCTGTCCGAAGTGGATGTCCTGACCCGTGTGAGGGTCATCACACAGCACTGACAGTGAGGGGGAGCCACGAATGTACCCATGGCTGCAGCCTTGCTCCTTTCCTTTGGTTTCTCCTTGTTTTACCTTCTCTCCCCACTCTGCTGCTGAGTGACATCTCACCCTCCTGCAGCACAGAGAAGCAGCAGGTCCCTGATCACCGCTCTCCTTTCCCTGGTGTGCTCTGAGCGCAGGTTTTGCTTCATCGCAGAACTCTAGGAAACATTTCAGTTACCAGAAGTGTCTTTCCTAGAGGAATCCCAGCTCCTACTGACACAGAATGAAAAATAAGCTTTGCTAAAGCAAATGCTTTAAACTAATAATTATTCCACATATTYTCCCAATTTTACAAGGTATCTCATAAAATTGAGACGATTGCATCACAAAGGAATAGCACTGCTGTATTGTGTAGTCAGAGAACAGCTTCTTAACATGAGAAACATGAAAATGAGCTCATAAAATCGAGTGACTGTAGTTCATAAATATAATAAAAATATAAAGAAATAATTGAAGACAAAGTCATCTCTGGACAGGCCGGAGATCGCGGGCACCGGCGTCCCCGTTGTGTCGGGGCCCTTCCAACCCACTGTCCCCCCWGCTGCTCCCCGCCTACCGGCTGCCCCTTGGGCCATCCTGTTGCCACCCCTGTCAGTCGCTGGGACCTGCCTGGTGCTGCTGGGCGCCGGGGCCTGTGGCGGATTGCTGGAGAAGGCCTGACTTTGCAATCCCTGTTTTCAGACATCCCAGAATTTAGACTGCTGTGGCCCTCTGCATAGCTCCTGTGTCTTCCTCTGGCGTTTGAGGAGGAGGGAGAATTATGAAGACGGTTGAGAGATGGAAAAGGAGGCTTTTTCCATCTGCAGCTTGGCTGCTTGCTGCAGTTTAGCCACAGTATTGGGAATTTCTAAGTGAGTTTCGAATGGAGCCAGTGGTGTCCCGARGCAGGACCTGGGTCGTGGCGATAGTCTCGGAGCAGGCAGAGCCGGCGCAGAGCGCGGCGGGCCGAGAGGGCAGGCGAGCGGGCTGGGGAGAGGGCGCTGCAGTGCCCGGGGGCGGCGCGCGGGGATGAGGCCCGGGGAGCCGGGCGCTCGTCCCTGCTGCTTCCACGGCTTCCTCTCGCTCCTCGCGCGCAGGGACGCGGGCGGAAAAGCCCTCGAAAGGAGCCTGTCGGTGCAGGCCATCGCTATCCACATTGGAATTCAGGAATAGAAAAGTAATATCTCTGAGACAGAAGGTAAACATTGCTGTAGTAGGTTTTGAGTGATGTTTTTGCTTCAGATAGAAAAATCCTGGAAACTCTGAGTAGTGAGTGATGAACGGCTGCACTTTCTGCTGCAGTGACCGAGCCAACTAAAGGCGGCCATTGAGCAACATATCCCAACAGCCAAAGCACTTCATCAATCTCAGCTGCTGCTTTTATGAACGTATTATATAATAATGGGTGTTCTTCTAAAAAAAATTACAAAGGTCTCTCTCTCTCCTTCCCCTAAATATCACAAGGGGAAGCCATTAATTCTGCTCCAGTGTTGATCTCTTCCATCATGATGATGTATCCATTAATGGATATCGTATATCCATTAAACCTTCCACCCTCGCACAGGAAGGAATAACAATTATTCATTGTTGAAAAGACTAAATGAACGAATTTCACTTTTTTTTAAGTAGCTGAGTATATGTTTGTCTGCCTTCTCCTCCTGAAGGCCAGCCTTCACACGGTGAGSCTGCTCTATCTAAGCAATCCAGGCCCTCATTTCCTTGCCATTGAAGACATAACCTCACATTTTCAGACTCTCTGGACCTCAGCTCTTGCCAGACTTAACCCTATATTGCTGGCTGCAAAGGGGAGACCTCCTTGCACACCCTTGGAGAGCAAGTCAGGGAACAAGCGCTCATTCAATTAGGAGCCCATGATGAGCTGGAAAGCAAGCGAGAGCTGCACACAGGTCCTGGCACAAACACAGAGCCACAGCAAGCCAGGCACTGCTGGCAGCAGGGGTGGCACTGCCCTCAACCCGAGTTCAGTGGCATAGTGTAAAAAACCCCACAATATTCTTCGTAAAATGACTAATGCTGCCCATACATCCTTGGGCTTTTAGTTTAGGTTTTCCTGTAGATCCCGCATACATTCACCCTCGTATCATACTTTCAAAGTCATCTTTACTCAAAAGCAAATCTGTTGTTAGTGTAGATGGGGACATTGTGGGGCACAGCGTTGCAGCGAGCAGGAAATTTGCAGCTCGACCAAATCCTGTGCACACAGCGCCCCGTGCCAGGTTAGGGACCCTCATGCAGATATTAGGAACTTTGTAGGAGGGGAAGCTGGACTGAGAGTCTCCAAGAAGAAGCCTAGGAGACTACCTGGCTATCAGCACCTCCTTGAAATGAACAGCAGATGCAAAAGGTGCTTTTATGGCAGCACAAATATGAACAAGAAAATACAATTCCTGCATAGCCATTGAAAGGGCCATTCTGTGCATGGAAATTAGAGCAATTCTGGGCTTACTGTAAATGAACCAGCAACCCAGTTTGCCAAGAAATAAGAACTTCCTGTGATCTGCCCACGTGGTTTGAAAGAACTGGAAAACATTTCCCTGTTGGTAATGTTTAATTTTGTGGAGTTGCTATCGGTTCTAATTCTGGTTTTGCTTGATTCCATGATGTCCTTGCTAATATATTAGTCTATATGTAATATAAAATGCTTTAATCCCATAGAGAAAACAGCAAGATGTTAACATCTTTGCCAAGGATTAAATATGACCTGAAACCCTGAGTCTTTCTAAGCACTCCAGAGCCTTTCCACGGAGAGCTTTTACCTTATCATTTGTGACTTAAAAGGCTATTGTTATGACTGCAGGACTGCCAAGCCGTAATGCATGATTTATTATGCACAGCAGGTGACTGGTAGTTAACATTTATCTCAAAAAAGAACTGTTTTTTTTTTTTTTTTCTTGCAGCTTTCCCTGGGAGGTTCATGTTTTTGTCAGTGACAAGATGACAATTCATATTTTTACCAAAGGATGCAGTGAGTCATCTTATTAACTCCACTGAAGTACATGCTTGGCAATAGAACTGCCACGGTAAGTCTGGGGGATTTTTCATTCTTCCTGGAAACATTATTCAGGAATTAGTCCATAGTATAAATTTAGTAGAACAAATAATAATCTTTATATAAAGCAGTAGCTTCTCAGTGACGACCACAGGCCAAAATAGACCAAATATTGCATAACACACTGTTTTTTAATATTATTATTAGAGGAGCAGATGTTACAGGACAAGGCAGACTATGCCACAAACTGTGCTGTTCACTAGGACATGGTTTTTTTGAACCTGGGTACTGCATGTGAAGGAACCTCATGTGTTGAGGGAACTCAAATAAAAGCCACAATAAATCTGGCCCTGAGAATGTTGCCATGTGAATGAGTCCACATGCACCTTGGAGCAAGCGTGAGACAGGAAGGAGAAATTTGGCATCCGAAAAGAAGCATCTCCAGGATGATATAATGTATAACATAACATGGCCAGTGTACCGGTATTGATCACCCAAAGCAAGCTCCTTCTTTATTTTGCTCCTTATTTTGTCCCTCCTCGAAAGCCTCAAAGCATCTCCCAATATCCTATGACACTTCTGTAGAGGGCCAGGCCACTCGGGTCCTTCTGCAGCTCTGCAACAGAGGAGAACCCGGCTGCCCTTGCGCCGAACGGTTCTGCAAAGGGACTTCCCTGGGCAGAAGGGGCAGCAGAGGCTGCTGCAGGACTGCCTTGCTTTAGTTTATGGCTAGCTAGAGGAAAAGCAGCACACACTTTTGTTGGTAAAGCCTCTGATTCTCTTCTGTCTGCTTGTTTTTGCCCTTGAAAGTGATATTTTGTGGCACAGTCCAAGCGAACCGCTTTGTGCTTAGGCATATTTGCACGCCACACAAGCTTATCTCGCAGGAGAAGAGCATATGGCCTTGAGTTATTATTTGTTATTTCAGGGTAACTAGATGGTAACTGTACTGAAAACTTATGGCAACTCATGCGTTATCTCACGATAACAGGATAAATAAACAGTCTCTTCACTGCATGCATTAACAGTAATGGAAGGAAAAGCTCATGAAAACCACTGGTAACGAGTTCAACCATGTCCCCATTTATGATGTCCCAGATGTGTTGCTGCTTCTCCTTCTGTCATGCACATTTAAATTATAACTAGGATTCCTTCCACTTTGATATTCTTGGCTTCAAAGACGCAGCTCTGTCAGCTGCAGTCCTTAAGTCAGTGAGCATGCAAAGTTCTTTAAATGCCTGACTTAATAGAGAAATGTGTCTTTCAATTAGAATAAAACCTACAGAAGATGTAACAGAAATCATTAACAACGTATATAATGTATAGGTAGCAAACCAATACAGGGATCTAAGGGGAGAAGGAAATAGTTGCTTTGAACATCTCTGGAGTAAACTCCAAATGGTCGAATGCAAGACTGCCAAGGTTGTTGAAAAGACCTTGTAGTTAATCTGTAAAAAGACCCCTGGCTGGTGCAGACAAAGGTAAAGCCAACTGGAGCACTCAAGTATGCAATGTAATTGCGGCAAAACAGACAAATCAAGGAGCAGATAAAAGCAAAGGGAAGAGAATGGAGCTAACGCAGCTGCACAGAAACCATTTCAGATGTGTTCTGCTCGAGAATGCCAGCACATTATGGACTCTTTGAAAATACACTGAAGCAGCATTATAGAGTATATAAAAAGAGAATGTTAAACAGTTTATGGGTAAAATATGAGCTAAATTTGATGAGAATGTCCTCTAGACTGTAAGTATCTGTTTCTATGAAAGTTGAGTGGAACATTAAAGATATCATTAGCCTAGCAGGTTTTCTTGACTCAGATGTAACGCCAGATCTGCTTTTATTTTTGAGGAGAAGCAGAATGCTAAGAGTTGCTTAACCACATCTTTGTCATCATAAAAGAATTCACATCCCTCATTAAGGGTTTGGATCAAACTCTGCTGAAGAAAATGAAAGCTCCTGGTTTCAACATATCAATAGCAGGAGTGTTTTGAATGACCCCACATTTCCAACCATTCCATTTTTCAACCACTTCACCAGCTGAAGGTGAACATTGAAGGCCAAAYCAGAACTTGGAAAAGGGAAATACTTTTCAAGGCTTATAATGAGTCACAAAACATCAATCTGATCATCTTATTCTGTGCATCTCTAGACAGTATTTGTAAAGAAAAACACCCTGAAAAGTATTTTTCTTCATTCCTTTATCTGTCAGAGATGTTAAATCAGGCAGGATTCAGGGTCCCTTATAAAGATATATTATWATTATAAATTCCATAAACAAAGAACCAAGAAGAATCACTAGGAGAGAGTTTCTGCAAGTTACAAACACTAGTTAAGCAGAGGCAAAACAGCTTTTCAATACAGAGTTTCAAAGACTGTTTGTTCCACTCACAGTCACGCTGCTGGTGACTACACACCCCTGCGTGCGTCCGCAGACTTCAAGACAGGAAAACACTGCACGTAAAACATAGGAAAAGAAGTTCAGCATCCTGTGGAAGAAGTTACACAAACGCAGTTCTGTGACCGTGCGAGGCAGGCCAGGGCTAAGGAAGGCCAGGGCCGGGGATGCAGGCGCATTTTGCTCCCAGAGTCGGTGTCTCACACACAGTGATCCCAGCTGGCATCAAGCTGCTGCCGCCATGGAGGCCGGGAGATACCCCGGCCTCCAGGGATCATCCTCCGTTGACTTGTCCCTTAGTGCCCCTCAGCTGCAGGATTGAATCCAAGACCCTCAAACTTCTCTTCAGTGGCAATCAGAAACAAATGTTCTGTCCTGGTTTCTCAGTGTTTTGAAACATCTGGTTAACTTGGAGCATATGGCTAGTTCCAGTCCCGTATGAGGCCAGAAAGGTGCTTGCAATGACATATGTTCTTGCTTAGCAAACTTTGGGACTGAAGCACTACTATGTGAAAAACGACTTCGGAACACTGCCAAGCCAGCCGTTGGTTCCCAAGTTACTTGAAATTATTAAAATACAATATATTGAAACGCAAATTGTTAAAATGCAATATATTGAAATGCAATATACTGAAAACAAGGGAAATATATAACAGCATACCTATATAATCACTACTGATGAAGGATCAACACTCTACAGGAGTTTTACTACTCCAGAATGTTGATTATTCAGGAATTTACTCCATCTACTGCTCTGAGCTTTAGCTGAAAACCCAGCGCAAGGCTGCGCTCAAGGAGCCTCGCTGCACCGGTCCCGTCAGACAAGACCAAGTTACCTGCTCTTTACCCAGCCCATGGAGCACCGAGTCACTTCAGGGCAGGGACGGAACCACGCGGGCTCGCAGCTCCACTCCGGGTCCTCAGTCTCTCCAAACTCCATCTTTACAGCCAACAAAATGTGAGAGGCAGATTTCAGATTTCTCCAAATACTCAGATTTCCTGATTGCTTCCTCCTGAGAAAGAGGCATCTGGCCAAGCAGACTGCCTTACGCACATCCTTAATTTGAAGTGCAAAACAGTTCTTTTAAATGAGACACTCATACACTTAAATGCAATTATGTCTCCGTTTTGTACAATGATTGGATATTAATTCCTTTCGACAGAGCAGGGGCTGATTTTAYAGCTCCTATTGGACTATAGCTGAGAAGACAAACTGAACTGTCACTAAACAATGATTTTCCTCTCCTAACTCATCGGCTGTTTCATGTATCTGCTTAAGGTATTATCCTTGTTGCAATGAACTCCCGCARACCTAAAACTTGCCATTCCACTGTGTGCCGTACTAGGAATCCTGTGATGTTTAGTTTTATATTCATTTTAGGTGCCCAAGTAGAGTGCTYCAACAGCAGTTGCAAAACCCCCCTTACTCTGTAACAGCTGACTTTAAAATAAAACTATTTTCAATTTAAATGAAGTATCCCTGAACTAAGCACGTAGAGACCCATCAGAGACATTCGCTAATACAAGCCATATCTAACACATGCAGTATTAAAGGAGAAAGCAAAATTATAATGTTTGTGCAGAAAAAAAGGCCGTAATCAGAGTCACTTTCAGTACCTATATCTGCAGCCATAAACTCTGTCAAACAGCAGCTCCCCACATGTTGAAGGGGATCACCTGATCTTCAAATAGCAAAGAAATGCCCCAAACCCCTGCGCTGTGAAGGTTTTYACTCACGTCAGTGGTGAGGGCAGGTCCTGCTGCCCTTCCTGCAGCTGCAGCAAAGGCCGCTTCACACCCGGCGCTGCGGAGGCTCCTCCAGCAGCTTCCAGYGAGAACCGAGACGGGGAGGCCTCGCCGAATAATATTCATGGACCAATTTTTAGTCCTCTGAACAGTTCCAGTTCTGTAACATGGACGTTAATGTCAGCAGACAGTAATATTAAGATGCTCATCTTTCAATACACCATTGGCATCTAATGTTTTTCTTCTTCCTAGCTCCTCAAATGCCCTTCTTATTTACTTAATTACTGTAATCATTCCTAATTATATAATGCTTTGATTGTATTTAATTATATTCATAATATACATAAATAACATTTTAAAACTAAAGCTTTTCCCAAATGCTTAAATCATTAAGATAGTGTTTGTATAGATTCAGTTAGAAACATTTAAGAACCAATATGTTCGCGACTTTTTTTTTCCACATTCTAAAATGAAAATAAATGATCTGAATTAAATATGCTAAATATGCTATGAAGTTAATAAAATGTTAAACAGAGGAGTTCCAAAGGCTAAACTTTATCCCATACCTTCAACAGGCACTTCTTTATAGGCTTCCTGGGAGATTTTATTGTATCAGTGCAGCCTGGAAGTGTTTTCGTTTTCCGTTCTGCCAACTAGAACTGGCAGCACTGGTAGATTCCCATGGGAGACGTAGGTAGCTAGAAGAAAAAGATTTTGTCTTGAGAAATCGTGTGGAAACAACATAGGATTTATCAGATAGCCAGTTCCTAAGCCATAAAAAGCAGTATGAAGGGATGCCCACATACAGACGAGCCCTACAGGCTAAAGTACATTCCGGGCATATCACTAGCTAAACAGGGAGCATATTGCCTCATTATTGATTTTTTTTTTTTTTTTTTKGAAAATAATTTCTTGGTCTTTCAGTAACTCTCAATATATAAATCACTGAAGACAGAGGCAGATTTCCCAGCAAGACAGAAAGAAGCAAATTTGCTCATTTTGCTCGTTATAGCTCTTCACAGTGAAATTTATTTGGAGTTTCATTATAACTACCCGGTATTTCATGTTATTAACCTTTGAGTAGTTTTAAATGAAATCCGTATAGTTTACTACATTTACTTTGAGTCATGGATTCTACAATAACACAATGGGCTCTCAGTAGGATTAAAATCCAACTACATTAAAATTCAATTAAGAGCCTGTGACAAGTGCAGTGGTTGACTCAGAGAGAGYCTTGCATTTCAGTGTAAAATGATGTGCTTTGTCACTGCACCGAGGAGGTAAGATATGTGTTTGTCATAACATAGTAAAATGTCAGGCGCTCTTGTATTTGAACAAATTCTAACGTTTTTCTCCTCATTTTTGTTTCTCCCCAGTTAGCCAACTGACTTCACAATGACCGAGGGCTTAGACCACAGGTTCAGTAGTCTCACCTGGGATCAGATTAAAATTCTGGATCAAGTGTTAACTGAGGTAATACCCATTCATGGAAGAGGAAATTTTCCAACGCTGGAAGTAAAACCAAAGGATATCATCCGCGTGGTGAAGGAACAGCTCCTCGAGAAGCAGATCGCTGTTCGCGACATCCGCCTGAACGGTTCCACTGCGAGTCACATCCTCGTGAAGCAGAATGGAACCAGCTACAAGGACCTAGACATCATTTTTGGCGTTGAACTCCCGAGCGAACTCGAGTTCCAGGTCGTTAAAGAGGCAGTCCTAAACTGCCTGTTGGACTTTCTGCCAAAATGTGTTAATAAGGAAAGAATCACTGCTCAGACCATGAAAGATGCCTACGTGCAGAAGATGGTCAAAGTCTCCAACGAACACGATCGCTGGAGTCTCATCTCACTGTCCAACAACAGTGGCAAGAACGTAGAATTAAAGTTTGTTAACTCGCTCAGACGGCAGTTTGAGTTTAGTGTCGACTCCTTCCAAATAATCCTGGACTCCATGTTAAGTGTTTACAGAGAGACAGACTGCAAGCTGACAGAAGACTCTCACCCCACGGTTATTGCAGAGAGCATGTATGGAGACTTCAACGAAGCAATGGACCACCTAAAGTACAAACTTATTTCCACCAGGAACCCTGAGGAAATCAGAGGAGGCGGCCTCCTGAARTACAGCAATCTCCTCGTCCGTGACTTTAAGCCAGCAGATGAGGCYGAAATTAAATCTCTGGAACGTTATATGTGTTCCAGGTTCTTCATTGATTTTCCAGATGTTGCTGAGCAGCAGAGGAAAATTGAGTCATATCTGCGCAACCACTTCATTGGGGAAGAGAAAAGCAAGTATGACTACTTGATGACTCTGCACGGAGTTGTAAACGAGAGCACTGTCTGCCTCATGGGACACGAACGAAGACAAACTCTGAACATGATTACAATTCTGGCTTTAAAAGTACTTGGAGAACAAAACATCATCCCCAATGCCGCCAATGTAACATGCTACTATCAGCCTGCTCCGTATATCAGTGACAGAAACTTCAGCAATTACTACATTGCTCACGGACAAGCCCCCGTCATCTACCAGCCATACCCATTTCACATACCCGTGCAGAGCGGCATGGTGTAGTAAGGCAGTACCTTCCTCAGCACTTACACCCTCTCTCTTCCCACTCCTCTCCATAATAAAGGCCTCATTAAAACACGTTTTATCATCACTTTTGATTTCAGGACTTCTTTTTGTGCAAGTTGCCAATGTTACCTGGCAGGGCCCTGTTGAAATCACTATTACGCGGATCACAAAATGAGTAAGATTGCTAGCATTCTTCCTGATGTGTTTGTATCCCTAAATGCGCTTGGGCTGTACTTGTCTTTGGACAAAAGGAGATGGATATAAATGATTCTGATTTTGTACAATGAAGTGCACTAAGTTCTAGGACCTGAAACAATCTTAATCAAAATTTAAATAATGAAAAATTAAGCCAATAAAATACCTCTCAGTAGAAACGGCTGATTTTAAAAATGACAGTGTTCTGGATACRGGGAACTGACAGGATCATCCATCAGTTATATCCATATCCATTCGGCACATTTTGAAAATGCACGTTGGTCTCTTGGTAGCTCTGCTCTGTCGGTCTGATAACTCCCAGTAGAGACTTGAGGCCAGGACCTCGCTGGGATGGTTGGCAGAGAGCACCCTGCCAAGAGCAAACACACCATTCCTGAGGATCCGGGATCTCCACTGAGGGGGAGATCTCACTGTAACATCCGATCCGCAGAGCTGGGCCCCAGGATCTGACTCGCAGGTGGTGCAAGTTCCATGGGCTGCACCTGTTCTGAGTAAATTTGTCCTGAAAATCAAGGTAACAGGATGACAAAGGTGGAGATTGAGCACAAAGGAGCTTGCTTTCTGTTGTTAACCTGTGATTAATCAGAGATGCTTAATTGCGTAATGAATGGAGTCAGGAAAGAACGGAAGAACACCACATAGCCAAGGGATGCATTATATTTAAGTGGCATGTAGAAAAATGTTTTATACTAGTGATGTCCTGTGTGTGTTCAGCTGTCTGCACACATGCACAGGAAAATCCCTGCTACGATGAGCAAGTCCACCTGTATTGAAGCTTCTGTATGTGTGTGTTTACCAAAGAGCCGCCTGCCGTGCCACGAAGTGCCTCTCGGTGCCGGCAGCCCCGCGTGGCACCAGCCCCGGGCTGAGCAGGGCAGGGAGCCGCGGTGGGCACGGCGGGAACGCTGCTGTCCTGGCGCGGGCACGGCGGGAACGCTGCTGTCCTGGTGCTCCCGCACGCCGGCTGCTCCCCGGGCTGCAGCGCGGCAGGACAGCACGGAAAGGACGGTCAGAACGCACGGGGCTGTACAATCAAAGCTGGCGATGGGAAATACGAACAGCAGATTGCCTTGAAATTTCTGATGTTTAACACGATGTGTTAAGAACTCGCTCCTGGTCCATTGTTTTACATCCTGATTGTGATTTTGCAGAATATTGGCTACAATTGTCTATTTATAGACAGGTATCAGGTCTTAGAAATTTATGCTACTCTTAGGAAAATGATTTATTTGGAACAGAAATGTGTTATGCACCAATATTTAAAATAAGAGGTTTCTCAGATTTGTAAGGTCCCTGGTGATCTACTTGCCAGGGCCACGTCGCCTTCCCTTACCCACTTACAGGCCTCTTCAGGAGAACAAAGGGTTTCCCAAAGGCAGCTTTGCTGATTGGCATCACTTAACTAAACCTCCCTCTGTAAAATATAATGCAAAAATCTAGTGCAGAGTAATGTATGAGAAATGTGCGTACAACATAAGGATATAGTAATATATTTTGGAGGGAAATTTATTTTATGCAATGTCTTTGATGAATATAGTACATTTTATTATTTTTCCTCATTTTCAAATATATCCAAATATGTTCCTTGCCCAGGAACACTTTTTTTTTCACTCCCAGCAGTATTTTCACTTCATTTAATAAATTAGGCAATTCCAATTTCCATGTTATCAAATATAGCGGCACTATATTTGCATTTAAGCACTTTAGAAAATTCTCCCCATTGGAAACAAAAGAGAGTGAAATGTGGTGGAATGTTTTGTTGTGATTTGTTTTGAAGTTAAGCTGTTTAGATTAAAGTGGAACCTTTAACTTTAGTTTGCTATTTGCCAAAATAGCAAACTAAATAAATAGCACTGTGAACGTCTGTAAGAGCCTTACTGAGACTGGGTCCTGCTAATGCCTGTGCTTGGACAGCCGGCCCCAAAGACCTGCAGAAAACAAGTCTGCCAAGAAAGGAGCATTTTCAWCACATCGTGTAAATCCATTGCACCTTTACCTGCAGAAATATTTCCAAAATAATTGTGTTTTTTGTTGTTGTTGTTTTGTTGGTTTTTTTACATAACAAGTAGAAACTTGCATCACTCTGTAAAACGGACTATAATTCTCTTTTTGAACCGGCCACTGCAAAATGTATCTGTGATGATGAACTAGCTGTGGATGTGCATAAACCAGCCGCCCACTAGTGCAGCAACTGTGCATTTATATTTACCTGTTTCCTCCTGCTGCATCTCTGTGGATACGGCCGGGTTAGACCCAGAAGGACTCACCGAGATCCACGGCATTCGTGGGAAGGGTCTGCCTGACGTTAACTGGCCCTGAGTGGGACTCGGGGTGGAGAAAAGGACCTGCAGGTGACGGTACAGACACACCAATATGCAAAAATGACTCAGGTATAAATAAATCCTTTACTTCTGTTCAAAAAGGTCTTGTGTTCCTTACCTAGAGGTAATTCTGTTTTGAAAGTTATGGSAGATTTATGATTTTATATRTGTAAATATATATAAAATCTTACATCTCTACACATGCACCAACAGCTAACAAAATCTAATGTTTTTAAATATTTCCTTCCAAAAGCTACATGTTGTCTAGCAGCAGTATTGGACTTGGAGTTTTTTTAAAGGTAATAATGGTTCTGGAAAATCATATTAAAGTGGGGACACAGTTGTGCACTGCTGCTGGCAAAACCCTGATATCAATAAGTAAGGTGAAATACTGCAACCTCTTCTCCAGTTACTGTCCATTTTACTATGTGCAGATATGAACCTACAAAGAATTAACTGAGAGACTTTTTCAGTACCGGTATCCTGAGCTTCATGTTTACATTATATCATGTTGTTACAATCTGGTTAATAATTATAATATCTGGAAATTGTAATGTTGATTTTATTTAGTCATATAAAACTTCTTAAGGTCTTCAGTTTAAAGTAACCTAATGTTGTCAGGACTTAAGTGTTTCAAGTGCTTTCCTAAAAATGTCATTTGAATTTTGTGTTATATTGTAAAGGGTCCCTTGGAAGTCTATTCTTTCTGGTCGTTCCTTTAAAATGTAATTTGTGAGCTTTATACTCCACATATTACAAAGGTTTTTGCAAGGGACAAAAGAAATGTGCAATTGTCCTCAGTGGAGATATTCTATTGTCTGTTGTGTTAGAGCGACCCTCCGGATCTTGCAGACACGGRGGCTCATTTACCACTGTGTCACTCCAGTTTTCCACCTGTGTGATTTGCCTGATGGTGGAGGAATTGCATGGACACAAATCTGCAGTTACTCAGTACTGTACTCAATGTTCCTGTTAGAAATATCTGGAGACAGGACAGCAGAGAAGGGTTCGGCAGCTCAGCAGCACCAGGATTCCTGCGGTTCAGGTGTCGTTTGCTCTGTGTTTCTACTCAAATAAATCAAAGGAAGGGCACTGAGCCACAGAGCTGTTACGGATGAAGGTAGTTCACTTACTGTGCCATCTAAAGCTGTTGAAAATATTGTGATGCTAAAATGTGTATTAATCACACAAATCTGTAGGTCATTAGTCTGCAGTGTTGACTAGTGCCTTTGGGTATTTGGGGAGCAATCATTAAAATAACTTTCTTGTTTAACGTGTGGTTTGCTTGTAATACATTCATTAGTCTGATGAGACGTCAGTTCTGGTGGGCAGACTCCTTCCTGGGGGTGTCTAGAAGCCAAAATGGCATTGCAGAACTGCGAGGAAGAGCGTTAAAGATTTAATTATGGTTTAAACCATAATTAAACCATAAACCACCAACGCAAAACTACCACTGAGCCACAGGCTACACCCTGCTCAGAGTCTTCTGAATGTCTTGGGTACATCTCAGTGGCGGGTTTGTCAGAAGAGCTTGTGCCAAATACTCACATTTTAAGTGCCTCGATATATATTTATATAATAAAAACATGACTGTCTTCTGCATAAATAAAATGAATGCTTCAATTGACGAATTATTTGACTTCACGTATGTCTAAGAATACACGTGACCTCCTCCAAGAGCACGTTCCCGTGAACCAGAGCAGCGTTTCCTGCTCCAGACGTGCTGCGCACGGACAGCCCTGCCTTCCACCTCCCCGATCCTGCCCCTTTGGGAAACAGGCAGCAAAAGTGCCAGGGATTTGTAYGTTGTAGGAGCCCCAAGTCCTGCGCGGAGCCTCTGTGCCCGGGGCGGCAATTTCCAGCTGTTCCCAAAATAACCTTTTAATAGGAAATGTGCAACGAGATTAAAGGGAGAAAAGGTGACAGAGCCTGCTTTTATTTGGGAAAAAATCTGTATCTCTCCTCTCTGCTTCAGGGATGCTTCTAAATCTACACAAAATGGTCTCTGACATTTGATGGTGTCCACAGGGTCGCCCAGCACTTTAGCACCTCACCTTGTTTAAATTTGCCATTAGACTTCCTCAGAACATGTTCTTTTGCCTACTTTTTGTCGAGGAATGGAGAAACTTTGGTGAAAGTCTCCACTTTCTCATATATGTTTTTTTACCAGAAAAAAAACATCAAGCATAACTTATTCTCCTGGCCATTTCTGCTGTACAGTCAAATTCTTCATAATTGCCCCCGAGACACTACTGAAAAGAGGAGTGGGAAATGGGGAAGCAGCCCACTTACGCGCTCCTTGTTCCTGTGAATATTCCTCAGCATTTTCCCATGGAATTCGTGACCTAGCGTAATACCCGAAGGCCATTTCATTTTCCAGCCACCACCTCCCTCCCGTTTCTTCTCTTCCCTCATCTCCATGATTAAATACTATTTCGCTATTTCACAAGGAAGCGATTTCCTTCAAAGCAGCTGCTTCCCCACTCAGCTCCATTTCACGCCGCACTGCCCGTGTTTCCGAAATCCCAATTAGTCACCACGGAAAGCAATCCCACGCCGTACTAATCAGAGCGTCGGGCCGCTCGGCCGGTACGCCAAGGGGGAAGGCAGCCCCCGGGCCGGGGCCGCACGCTGCAAACCTGCCCCCTTTCCTCAGCACGTGCCCCCGTGCYGCCCAAGCGGCGAGCTGCTACCGAGCTCCCCGTCACGCCAGCCCTGTGGACGCTGCTGCAGCTTTCCTGCCATTTTCTACCCATATTTTTTCCCTTACAGTGTTTTACCGGCTCCTGACATTTCCCAGACAACAGACAGAAACTGCATCCCATACTTTTGCCTAAAGGATAAGAATTGATATTAAGTGCCTCTCTTTTTATTGCATTGCCTGTTCATCCTAGGCAGTTCTCGGGTAATGAAATTTTCCAATAAGGAGTTTGGATTCATTACCTGTGCTGAACGGCTTGTACACCCCATCAGGAAGGAGCAAAGAGCTGTGAACTTCTYGCATTAAGGTACAAACACCTTGTTAGGCCTCTTCAGCAGCTGATTAAACTGTAAGTTACGGGCCCAACACTTTGTCATGTTCCCAATCAAAAGCAGCAACAAGGCAGCTTCCAGCCCCGCTGTTGCAGCTGCAGCAACGCTAAACGAAGCTGCTCTAGCACAACTCTAAATAATTTATTCCAGAGATTATTCTGTTTATTAAATAATGCATTCGGTCAATCAGTTTCTTAGCTCTTCCTGCAGAAAACAACATTGTCAATCTGTCTTCATGTCAGATGTGCCCGCCAGGCAGCAAGCATACGTACTTAATACGTATTCCTTGATGCTGCACAGAGACATCCGTGTGCTGTCACGCTGCTCTGAACCGTGAGGTAGGGAATCTGCCCAGCTTCCATGCGGAGACACCACTCGGCAGCCGAGCAGAGCTCCGGGCAGAAGCACGTCCGAGGTACAGGCTTGGCTGGCCTTGAACTCAGCGGGAACATCAGCGATCAGAGCAGAAAGAAGAGCCATCAAAACAGAATAAAAGTAAAAATATTTTGAAAGTACAGAGGCAGGAGGCTGGGCTGAGTGCCCGCTCTCACACCCCATAGGTTTTCAGGTAGGGGCAGCAGCAGGTTGGCTCCTTGCTCCGAGACCTGCCAAGAAACTTCAAGTTAAGCTAAAAAGCTTTGTAAGAGGCAAAAGAGAAGCATTTTAGGTCTTTCCTCAMGGCTCTCTCCTTTATGTTTTTCGTAACAGTATCAGGCAGTGGGTATTGATCAAAACCAAGCTGCACTTGCAGCTGAACAGGACAGGAACGTTTCCACTAGCCGGAGCTGCCGTTCCCAGACCTCCCCAAGGCCGCTGGGGTTTTCTCCTCTGGTKGGCTTCCAGCTGGGACCAGGAGCTGCTCATGGACCTAATGCATTAGGAACGTTAATTATCAGAAAAACGCAGAAAGAACTGCAGATACTTCGGCTTTCGCAGTGATTTCGAGTTGAAACGGGCAACATACTCAGTACATGTTTGTGTTAAGAAACAAAAGAATAATCGTTTATTTTTAAAAGCTATGGCTGATTAACCAAATGTCCCTTGGACAGCAGGGTCTCATCCCCAAACAAAGAGCTGGGTTGCTCCTGGAGCTTGCACGTGTGTAGCTGCCCCTTGGTCACTGTTTGTGCAGAGCTGTGACAACTTCCACCCRTTTCCCTACTCCTGAATAAATCCAATAACATCACAAAATAAATAATTCTAGACATGACCTTTGTGGCTGGATGATACCTTCTGCTCATGGCTGCTTTGTGAGCRATGGGCTTGGAAATGGGCTCCCTATCAGAACCACCCTGAGCACATGATGGGACCCTATTTGCTGCAGGTAGTGCTGTATCCTCAATTAATTCATCTATTTTTAAGTATCATTATTAAAGCTTCTACTATTTTATTATTCACCCATTATTAAATATTTGAACACTCTCTCCTTTAACTTTCTTCATCAACGGGCCAAGGTTTTATGCAGCGTTAGCAGGAAAATGTAAGTAAATCCACAGAAATGTCGCGTCCTGATAACTGTTGGAATATTTTCRGAGTTGGCAGTGTCCAAGCAGCAGCTCCCTCAGAGAGCATTTCTGCTAAAATGACAGAGACAAATTTGTGCGCTGGGTACAGCATTTTCCCTTATACCTGTTGGAAAACATTACACCATTTATTACTGATTTTCCTCTGTTTGCTTTAATTTCATTAGGCTTTGAATTGTTTTAGAGGGCTGGCAACCAGTCAAAAGGAGGGTCAGGTTATGACAGGTTGCCAAAAATCTGTGGAAAAGGCCAACGCTGAACAAACACATCCCAAATGAATGCAGGGGATGACGTCGGGTCTTCAGACATTGCYCCGAGTGCTGCCACTCCTGATGTGCCCAGTGGGTCATCCGGGTGCTCCTAGGGGCTCATGCCCATCTTTCCTGTCCATGCTGTGATAATCCACCTCCCTAAAACCAGACTCATAATCCCCTCCTCTGCTTAGGTGCACACTTGGAAAGARCTGCAAAATCTGGGGATTTTGCAGTTTCGCTGCTTGCTCGAGGGCTTCTTGTGGACATGTGGAGAGCTCTTCATGGCCTGGGGTGTTTCTTTGTCTGGTGATGGAAGGCAAAGTCAGAGCTCATCAGTTGAGATGCTTTTCTGGTCAAAATACGATCGTTCAAGTCTGTCTACAAACGGGAAGAAGGCTCATCCACGGAGGCTTCCTCTTCCTCTTTACCTCCAATTAGCAATTCACAAGGGCAGAGTTATCCCAAATTGCATTTGTGATCTCTGTAAAAGCCCAAGCCATAGCACACGTGCTGTAAATTGGACACGTACTCGTTTCATGTGGTTGGGGCTAACAGTAATTGTGTGTGATTTTACAGCACAGTYCCTCGGGGTAATTTTTTCCGGTCAAGCTGTAGGACTCAATAAAAACATGTAAGAAGAGTAGAGTGAATAAGAGAATAGAGAAGATAAAGTTCTTCTATTATTATTATTTATGGTTGCATTGGGGATAGTGTAAAAGCCAATTCGAAAGCCACTGGGAATCATTAGAAAWCCTTCCTTCAATATTAATGGGGTTTGCATAAGGCTCAGCCTCCTACAAACGGGGTTCTACTTTCTATTTAACATGACTAGAAGATTTCAAGATTGCTTTTCATTTAGAAACATGTGTTCTTCTCTTGGTCTCCTTTTTGAACCCTCATGGCTGGTTTTCACTGGAAAATCTGCCTCTCTCACCTGAGCCAGCTTCAGAAAGCCAGGAGTAAAGAGCTAAATCCTCAGCTTCTGCCCGTGAACTCCTGCAGGCAAAAAGGCTGGTGTCCAAACTCTTGGCATATTTACACATGGCATCAATGGAAAGCCAAGGAAGAAGGATCCAAGTCTAAGCCGGAGCCAAATTCAATTTTCCTCCCTTCTGAATTTGGCTTCAGAGTCCCAGCACAAACTCCAGGTCCAGCTTTCAAGACAACACCTGTATTTGTAAAGGTGGTTTTCATTCCTCCTCAACTTCCACCAAGCACAATTCACTCAGATTCAAAACAATCTTATTCCCTAAAATTAACAGGTCCTATTATATCCACAGATTTAATACATGCATATTCTAGCTACCAGAGCAGGATTTGGTAACCTTAGTTTCTATGATTTGAGAGACACCAGGAAAATACTTCTGACATTTACGACTTCTGCGCACTGACAATAAAAAAGGACCCCGCCAACTCGCTCCTCTCACKGACAATAATTCCACGGAAATACTGCTGGACATTATTATTTATAGCGTTTTAGTCACCCTGGAAACAAACTAGACGCGACCAGACATGACTTTTAACACAGCTAATTCTATCATTAGTGTCAGTACCACCGAACGACTCGCATCAACCTCCCCGGCGCGGYGCGGGCCGCGTTGCCATGGGGATGCCCCAGCCACRGCGGCTGCCATGGCGGGGCGGGAAGGTTCCGCCTCCATGACGCCCTTCCGTGGTGGCAGATCTACCCCATGTCTTTCCAGCCCTCTCTTGGCTTTTCCAGCTCCTTTTAGGAGTTTGGCAGTGCTGGTCCATGGCACCGAGGACACCACGGCCCTGCTGTGCCAGGCCAGCCATCAGGTCAACTGTGCGAGCAGCCCCGGCCCTCTCCGCTTGCACATGGTCCCCTGGAAGAGGCATTAACTAGCGGAATTCAGTTTAGGAATTGAAGATATTATGTTATTGATCTGTTACAAACTCAGTGAAGCACCTTGCAGGGGCAGTTTTGGGTTAAAACTGCYGGGATTAAAAACAAAATAATCCCTAAATTCTCCATCTGCTAAAAATGCCATTTGGGGGACAACAAAGCATTCAGAAATTCAGACAAAATTGGTAAGAAATCTCTGCCAAAATTAAGTAGTTTGCCTCAAAACATTTCATGTTGACGTTTATACACGCAGTGCCTTAGTCTTTTGTTTCAAAACCCYGCTTCCATCTCAAAATTTACTGCAGATTTCATTAAAGGGGAAAAACCCAGTTGCAAGTACAGGGAAAGCTTTCCCCTCAGCGCRCCCAGGACTTTCAGCTCGGCCCAAACGACATCAATCACCAGTTTTAGCTTTGCTCCCCRCCGACTCAGAGCGATCCAGAGGATGTTTCCGTGGGAGTCCAGGCCGTTAATCAGCCGGCTCCGACCCTCCGTCACTCCTGTGGCCAAGGCCCCAACAGGGCTCACGGCCACGCACGTATCCAACAAGCCCGGGATGCAGGACTGCTTGCGTGATGAAGGGCTCCTCTTGTAGGACACCCTTATTTTAATACTAAAAGCTCTCAATAGTAGCGATAGGGATGCAGTGCAGCAAGGAGGGCAGGGTGTGCCTGTCAATTAGCACCTGCCTCTGCTTAATTTCTCTCTCCTGTGTTACCCCAGCCGTATGAGCTGCTGATTCATGAAAGCAAAACTTGCCCAAGAGCTCATGCCCGGGCTGCCCACACTGACATAGAYGTGGAGATCAGCAGCATTAGACCAAGTGTCAAGATCCTTGGAAGACCTAGCCCCCAGCAACAGGGAGAAAATCCTCAGCAGAGCTTAATGAGTGCAGCTTTAATGACTTCCTAGGTGTTTAATTCCAGTCTACGTCATCTGCCCTGCAATGGAAGGGATCAGCACTCTTTAATTACAGCAAAGGCTGCAGCTTTATTCTTCCGAGTTCATAATAACTTCTCTTACTTTTCCCTCAGTTCTAAATACTTGGGGCCAAATAATTACTGATGGTGTTTCGAGACATTTAATACCATTAAAACATCCTCCCCCACCAAGAAAGCCAGCTTTTGTTTCTGAGTAACAAGTAAACAGCTCTGTAATSAACTAATAGTGATACCTGGGAAAAAATAAGTTATTAAATCCCTCTCCTGAAGGCTAAACACATCAGCTCTGCACAGAATTGTCAAGACATTTGCCTAAGGAGTGATTTTTACGGTTTGACTGCAATGTTTTAGACCATTCATCACATTTCAGTTATTTCATAACGATGTTGCTACCAAGACCCTGCTGCTTCTGGAAGCAGGAGCCCTGCGATGGAGGCACTTGGACAAGCAGATGCCTCCAGTTTCATGCGAAGGGCAGGGAAGCAGCTGGGCTGGTAGGACCATGTTGGTGCTGGGAGGACAGTTGGACACACAGTGAGGCCAGCACTGGGGTCTGGTGGGTTTTGCACTGTGGAAGTCTAAGTTTGTTTGCCAGGCCCTTTGTGAATCCCTGTATGAATTTCCATGCATGTTAGGAGATTTCCTGCCTGTTTCACTTCACAAATGACCGTTGGAGCAGAGGATTTACATGTCTACACAAAGCATGTGGAACAGGCCACCAGCAGTGACAGAATATGGGAATGCATGCACTTTTTGGTAGGAAAACTTCCAGTTTGTCTTCCCCATGCTCCCAAACCACCACGGACTTTTTGCTCTTTTTGCAGATGCTCCTCACAGCCTCCCACAGAGATACCCCCAACACACCCTGCATCTCCAACTGTTTCATCCCATCAAAGCAAGACTTTTCTAGGACAGGAGGTTGCAAAGCAAAATTGCAAATTTTTGCTTTTTTTTTTTTTTGGTCTGATCATCATAGGCAAGACATCCTCACATCCCTCTGGCAAAGCATAGCAATTGCCTTCACACAAATTTACAGGGCAAACTTCTCCAAACTAGGTATCTCTCAAGGGCTACTGAATGGACAGAGTACGGAAACAGGGAGAAAGCACCTGCAGAAGGTGACCTGCAACTGGAAACTTTACCCATCTCCTGGCAGGTTATTTAAACTGGGGGTCCTCTAGAGAAGACTGACCAGGCTGCTTCCAGGGATCATTTCTGGATAAATCACCATTATTCACTTGCTCTCATTTACAGATATTTCTTTTTTAAAAGCAGCAATTTGAAAACAGCTCATGAAGCAGAAGAGATGGTTTTAAAATAAGGAAAAATGRCTAAACAAACACTGAAAGCAGATTTATCCCTTCCCATTAGGGATAAGACGGCAGCATCTGGCAATGGGGATTCTTCCTAGACAGGTTTGYGCCGAGTGACCGGCAGGTAAAGTCAGCAAAGGCAATCTCGACAGTGGCTGCTCTGGCACTTCCAACGGGAACACACGTGCTTTGCCTTGGGAAAGCTGGAGAGCTCCCTTAGCAGGCAGTAACTGACCCGCAGGGCAGGGTGTGCGGGAGCCTGGCACCCTGCCCCAGGGCTGCTTCACCACYCAGATGTCTGCCAGAGCCCTTAGGGAGGCGACACATGGACAAGCACSGAGATGGAGGGCAGGGATACGTGCCCAAAGCGCCAGGAATAAATCCAAGTGCTTGCTGTGCGTTTTTCAACGAAACCAATAGCTTAATTTTGTGGAGGGTAGCAAGGAATCGCTCTTCAGAGCAATAGTTTAACCCCAATGTGATTTTATTGTGCTTGTATCCATCTTCCTTAGGCTTAATACTGCACATCTGAAACTTTYGCTTCCCGGGACGGAGCCTCCTCGGTGCCATCACCACAATGGTTACAACACCACAGACCAAATCCAACGAGCCCACTTCTCAGGGCTGGTTTTAAAGACAGACATAAGAAAATGGGCAGCATAAACATGATGGAGCCCACAGAGCCTCTTTGCTACTCACCACTGTCCCCCCAGCAAGACTCTGCCCCCAGGTGTTAATTATTCTGCAATTTAATCCAACTGAAGAGCACCTGCTCATCAGTCACGAGCCCGCCCGCATCCTGTTTACATCTCAACCCTGTACGTTGGTGGAAAGAACACGAATAAATGACTGACTCACAGCGTCCGATTTCTCACATTTCATGCAGTTTTAGTTTTCCTTGTACTTTGCATTCAAATACTTGTTCCTTTCATCACCTTCATTACACATTAGCAGGAATGCATGCAGACATAAATAGCTCTTGAATTTATAAATATGGTGCAATTGATGTATTTTATTTTACAATTATTGTGATAAACAAATGGGATATTTCAGTGTTGCTCGAGTGTGCTCTGTAAGTAATGCATCTCATTGTCCTTTAATTGTATGTAGCTGGTAAATGAGCTTTAAAGGTTGTATTAGTATTCGTTAGGCACAAGCTACCATACATTTTTATTAATTTTGCAGAAAATAACTGCTTCATCTGATCAGGGCCAAGCTGAGGGGCAGCCCAGCGCAATCGCTTCTCACAGGTACACGTTACTGCTGCTTTGCAAAGTCCAGTTACAAAGCTTGCAGAAACACTCTTTTTAGTTAAATTGTGTTAAATTAGCATAAGTATGTGCATTTAGCAATTTTATTGCTAACATTTTCAGGCTACAGTCCTCTGGGAAGCAGAGCTCGAGGTCCTTAGTAGCTAGTGTAGGATTTGTGCCAAGCCTGTTCCAGATGTGCTACTGCCAGGTGATTAATCCTGCCCAGAAGTCAAAGTTCTGTCCACCATTTTGAGGACAGTTAAATGAAAAATTAAAGAGGGCATAAAAGGTGGGAAGRGGGCAGAACGCATCAGGCTCCCTCCAGTGCATGTGAAAGTGTCAGCGTGAAATTGTACTAAAAAGCAACTCTAAGTGAATCAGGAAAGCTATGAAAGYCTCAGTTAAAATAAAATGAATGCTAAGAAATTGCAAATATTGCAGTTTTCATCCTACCCTGAAGGCTTYCCAAAAGGCCTTTTAGAACAAGCCAGCACAAAAAATGCAGGGAATAGGGGTCCTAGATTAAAAAAGGCAGCGCTTGTTGGCATAATGATATATCAGATGGTGAGAAAAGTATACAGATGAAAGATTATACGTGGCAATAAAATATCATAACAATCAGAATTTAAGACTCACTAGGAAGTTTACAATTATCCAGTGTTTTTCTTAAAGTGGGCAAAAATCCACATGTTGTTAAYATACATTGAAAAACTTAATATCCCAGAACTGCTTAAATCTCTGCCTGGACCAACATCAGGAAAAGCAAAGGACAGCACAGATGGAGAGTGACAGAAGTGACACTCTTCATATGAGAGTGGCAAGGCACCRGGGATTCCTGCAAATATTCCATTATCCCCATAGCTGAGG